AGCACATAAGTTTGGAACTGCCCACAAGAACTTGATACACAGCCTTGAAGGAGATGATTTATCATTGAAAGCTTATTGTTTGTTTTTTCGGGTTTCTGTTATTTTTGTTTTATATTCTTAATGGTCGATTAAAAGTATTGCCTGCTAATGCATTCGTATTGTTTCCAAAACCATGCGGTCTTTTTCTGATTTTTTTTCCTGAACTGTAAGATGTATGTATGTGTATACATAGATGTGTTAAACCCCTCAAATCCCAAGCATCATTCTAAAACTGCTTTGAGGATCCAAAGTGTGATCAGAACAAGGCAGTGAACACTTCCCGCAGTCAGATTCTCTCCACATTTCAAGCAGAAACATACTGAAAAGGTCAGGACTATATTTTACAAATTTAGGACAGGAAAAAAAATGCATGTCTGTTTTGAATCCAGTGAAGGACACTTCCGGGTTACCCACAGTTGCTGTAACATAACATTTGCCTCCCTACTCAAGAGATAATAAGGGTTGAGTTGAACCATGGAGTTGCTTCTGGAAACGACTCCTCGCCCATAAATTGGCGGGTGGCCTGGAGCAGCCTCAGTTCTCCAACAGATGACTTTGCAAAAATTGTTCGGAAGATGGATGTAATAAAGATTTTAAAGCACTCTGCATACTCAGAGTTTCATACAAAGACTTGGCAGTATACATTTCAATAGAGTTAAGAGATAGATTGGGAACAGCCCTGTGACTGATCTCATTCCAAGCTGGATGACTCTGTAGGTGGGCCTGAAGATGCGTCTGAAGTTCAAGAACTTCATTCCCACACAGGTGTTTCACCTTTGGCCTGGGTCCCGGTGCCTGCCGGAGGCTCCTACGAGGTTTGGCAAAGGTTAGCAGAGGTCGGGCTGAATTCCTAGATCCAGGAGAAAGACTACAGCCAAAGGTAGGCACTCTTCTTGCTCTCTGTTAGCGCTTTGACTTTGGTAGTGGGTCCAGAACCACCAATGGCAGTGGGCAGTCAGCCTCAATACAGTGGTGCCTCACTAGACGATGATAATCCGTTCCACTGAAATCGCTGTTTAGCGAAATCATTGTCTAGCGAAAAGCATTTCCCCATTGGAATGCATTGAAACCTGTTTAATGTGTTCCAATGGGGAAGAATCGTCGTCTAGCAAAGATTGGCCATAGGAAAATCTGCTTTGCGAACCACTGATCAGTTGTTTAAATCACTGTCTTGCGAAGCTTAGGTCCCGAAAACACCTGTTTGTGAGCACGGAGGGAGCTGTCAAAATCGTCGTCTAGCAAAAATCGGTTTGCAAAGCAGGGACCAAACATTGTCCAGCAAAATTCCCCCATAGGAATCATTGTTTTGCGAATCGCTGTAGCGATCGCAAAAAGCTAATGTCCAGCGAAAAAACTGTCATGCGGGGTAACTGTCTAGTGAGGCGTCACTGTAGTTAACGCCACATGAGCATGAAACATTGGCTGCACACAAGCATGCCTCAGCCTTAAGGATCCAGACTGCTGAGCGATGTTGTCTTGCATTTGCTATGTGCTCAAATCTGCACAGGGAAAATCATAGCAGTCCAGAGTCACCCTTTCAGCACATCTCTCCTCAGTTGTTTGTGACCAGACGCATAACCTCCCCTGAGAGAACAGGGTGTCTGTTGCATAGCCTGGCAAAGTCCCCAGGGATTTCTGGGAGTTGCAGTCCAAATGAATTAACTTCTCCAACTTGCATTCTATTCCTGGCATACCCAGTTGCTGTCACTGTTTCAGCCCTTTTCCTCCACGACTGTACCCACTCTAGCAGCTGGGTCAACCCACCAGTATACATGTTACCCAGAAAGCCAGTTGTTGCATGATACAATAACAGTCCACCCATCTCCCGAGAGCTCTTAATCCCAGAACGGCCACACAGAAGCTGAGTGTTCCCAGTCCTATTGGTAAAGGCAACAATGCATAAGTATTTTGTTAAGGGAGTGTGCGTCTGTGACTTTATCTTGTCTCTCGCAGAGTAAAGCGCAGATAAATGCACACAACAGCTTCTTCTTTTCAGCAGTGTATTTACAAAATATATACAGGATATACATACATACAGCACTTCAGTATTCAAACCAGCAGCATGACATGCAGACATCAGTATAAAGGAGAAGAGAAAGACTGTACAGAGTTCATTTCTTAAATACAATTCTGGCATCAGTCTGGTCCAATCCCGTCTAAGGTGACTTCATGCACACAGGTGTGGCAATCTTCATATTGCAGAGAATTGCATCAGCCAGGGATGAAGGAATGACGTCATCTTAATCTTGTTCTGCACACACACATATTATGTTCAGGCTATATAAAAATTATATACCTTAACATATTTCTAAGCAAGATTTGCAAAGATGGTATTGCAACATATCCATGCCTGCCAAGAGAAACATGGCAGTTCCTGTAGTCCTTATTTTTCTTCCAAGATACTAAATCTCTAAGGGGCTGAAGCAAACCCATTCTCCATTCTCTGCCACCTAGTTTTCCACTTCCCCACCACTCCACCTGTATCCCCTTCAACATTCTGTAGCTCTTGAAAGCAATGGAATATTCGCACTCCATTTTTTATTACCGCGAAAGATATATTATAAAAGTATAGACCAAATAGCTGCGTGATGTTTTTGATCAGTAGTGCATGAAGTTCTCAGTTTGCTGCTGTAAATAATGCTTTGGCTTGAAGCCAGTGGCTACTCCCAAATGGGGTAGATCCAGGTTGAATCAATGGGATTTATGTAAGCATTGACTCACCATTTGGCACCTGATTTGAGAGGTCCACTCAAGTTGGGACTGTCTGTTAGATTTAGGCCTTTTGAATTTTACCAAATGAGAATTCAGACTATGGCCAGAATTCTGCTGGAGAATTTTACCAGTGAATGGGTAAATTACCTGAATCACAGTAGCTAAATGCCGCTAATTGACAGATTGCTGTTTACATTCTTTGTCGGTCATTTAATGTGACATGCAGTTAGGAAGGCCAAGGGCAACTCTTTAATTAGCAACAGTTTGATGCCATGATTTATGCAAGTACATGAATGCCAACGTAAATCTTTTTGGCCATCATCCCTAAATAAAGTATGTGTTTGTGCAGAATCAGCAATGCATCATTAGAAAGAAGTGATGCATGTCTCCCATTTCTCCCCCAGCTAATAAAGTCTTTGAAGAAAGCGCTTGAGCCAGCTGTGAGTGACATCACGATAGACTGGTACGTGCCCGACACTATGGAGGCCCTGCTGTCACCCAACGAGATTGCAGCCCTGTATCCTGGAGACCGGCTCATCAGTTACTGCACCCTTTACCACATAGCCAGCTTCCGGGACAAGAAGGCAACAGTTAAGCACCCACTCCCTTAAACATCAAGGCATTCTCCGTGATGGGAATCGCAAACCATTTTCACTTAGCAGAGACAGTAGGACAGCTGTCTGCAAGTGGGAAATGGAGCAAGCTTGTGTTCTGCAATTTGAGAGAGTAGGATGCAAGCTAACAGATTTAAATTATGAAAAAGGAGATGGTGCCTAAACATTAGGAAGAACATCTTGATTGGAAAAGTTGTTTCGGCACTTGAATGGACTACCTGAGAAGGGGGTGGGTGATATCTCCCGCCTTGTAGGTTCTGAAATAAAGGTTAGATGGGCAACTGTTGGGGATGCTTTAGCTAAGCAATGTGTGTTTTGGCAGGTGGTTAGACTCAATAGGACCCCCCTCCAGTTCTATAATTCCAATAGCTGGCTTTGTTGGCCACTTTCATTTGTTTGCTGGGTTGGTTTGGGTGGGTGGGGGAAATGTCTTTGTGCCGGCGATTTATTTCCTGGAAACAAATAGATTTCATGTTTTTCCCTTCCTTGGTAGACAAGTTTCATTTTTGCCTTGGTTTTTGTTTTTGATTTTAATGATCCTTGTCCTCATTATTTCTACGGTGATGCTCATGGTGCATTGACCTTACGGTGGTCCCGTTCTCTCAGGGCAGAGAGCAGATGAGCCGCAGCCTCTCGAGAGGCTCAGCGGGCTCGGTGTTCCCATCCCACGAGGAAGTGGTGGGACAGGATGGAGCGCATCTGCACGCCGCTGGGGAGAGTCAAGATATCACCAAAGCCCTTCGTGAAATTTCCTGCGAGATATCCCTGGAGTTTTCAGCTGGAGCCACGGAAGAGTCTGTGAAGAGTACGTAGATCTACTGGGAAGGGGGCTTGGATGAGATGAGCTTTACCCAGCCTGGTCCATCCCAGGCTACGCTGAACTCCACCCTCCATTAGCCACGCTGGCTAGAAATGATAGGGTTTTGTTCATCTAGTGCTTCTTGTTGAGGAAGGCTGAGAAACTTACTTAGAGGAGATCAGCTGTCTTGAACTGTTGGAGAATCTGGATATACAGTGGTGCCTGGCAAGACGAGTGCTTCGTATAACGATGAAATTGCATAACGACGAAGTTTTTGCGATCGCAAAAGCGATTGCAAAACGATGTTTCCTATGGGGTTTTTTCACTTTGCGACAATCAGTTCCCTGCTTCACTAACCAATTGTCGCAAAACGAAGAATTTCGCACAGCTGATCAGCGGTTTCAAAATGGCCACCGGGAGAAACTTACTTAGAGGAGATCAGCTGTCTCGAACTGTTGGAGAATCTGTCAAGGATATACAGATTTCTTTCCAGAGGCGTTGAACAGCTTAACATTGCCCTTTAAATATAAAGATTAATTTAGCTTTGCAGAGGGTTTGCAAAACGATGTTTCCTATGGGGTTTTTTCACTTTGCGACAATCAGTTCCCTGCTTCACTAACCAATTGTCGCAAAACGAAGAATTTCGCACAGCTGATCAGCGGTTTCAAAATGGCCACCGGGTTAAAAAAAATGGCCGCCCACTGTTTTCTGGGACGGGCAGCGAAAATGGCTGCGCTATGGAGGATCTTTGCAGGACGGTGAGTTTCAAGCCCATAGGAACTTATTCATCGAGTTTTAATGCATTTCTATGGGCTTTTTAAAATCACTACGATGTTTTCGTTCTACAGCGATTTCGCTGGAACGAATTAACATCGTAATGCAAGGCACCACTTTACAGATTTCTTTCCAGAGGCATTGAACAGCTTAACATTGCCCTTTTAAATACAAAGATTAATTCAGCTTTGCAGAGGAGTGGGGGCTCTTGCCGTGGGTTTGCAAGTGGGAGGTCCAAGGTTGCCCTTGGTATTTCCAGTTCAAGGGCAGGTGGTGGCTATCTCACTAAGCTTTCCCAAGGGAGTCAACCAGAAACCTTTTTCTCTGGCAGGTGGAGATCCCGTGTCAGGAGGCGACATCTGGAAGCGGATTTTCCAGCCTTCCTATATCCAGGAGCAATATGTGCTCACCCACTGTTCGGTCAGCACTGACCAAAGCCAGGGATTACTGTCCCACAGCTCCACCAGCAGTGAGTCCACTGGGTCGAGAGATGTTCCTCTGGAGGGAAGCTCCTTCGCTCACACTCTCGACGGCAACTCCCAGCAAGGCCAGAAAAGCGTCTCCCTGTGCAGCACCTCCACCAAGTCTGCACCAGTTCCCCAGACTCCCACCGGTGCAGGTACCATGGTGAGTGCTTGTGCCCAAGGGGCACCCTGCATCTCTGGCCCGTGCCATGCTTTTCAGGGCGGGCCTTGGCACTTGCTTAAACCAGTGGGACAGAGTCTTGCCCAAGAAGAGTAGCCGAAGATTTTTCATTGTTCATCTTTGCAGGTGGAGACATCGGGAAGGATGTTAACCTAGATCGAAAGCTCTAAACCAGTGGATCCCAACTTTGTATATCCAGGAGCAATATGTGCTCACCCACTGTTCGGTCAGCACTGACCAAAGCCAGGGATTACTGTCCCACAGCTCCACCAGCAGTGAGTCCACTGGGTCGAGAGATGTTCCTCTGGAGGGAAGCTCCTTCGCTCACACTCTCGACGGCAACTCCCAGCAAGGCCAGAAAAGCGTCTCCCTGTGCAGCACCTCCACCAAGTCTGCACCAGTTCCCCAGACTCCCACCGGTGCAGGTACCATGGTGAGTGTTCGTGCCCAAGGGACACGATGCGTCTTTGGCCCCTGCAACACTTTTCAGGGCGGGCCCTGACACTTGCTTAAACCAGTGGGACAGAGTCATGCCCAAGAAGAGTAGCCGGAGATTTCTCGTTGTTCGTCTTTGCAGGTGGGGAAGGACGTTGACCTAGATCAAAAGCTCTCAGCCAGTGGTTCCCAACTTTCAGCCTCCGGTGTTCTTGGACTACAAGTCCCAGAATCCTGGTGGCACTGCTAGAGAAGGCTTCTGGGATTTCTAGTCCAAGACCATCAAGGGACCCAAGGTTGGGAACCACTGCTCTAAATTGTAGGGCTGTTCCGGATAAGGCTTTGCTTGTGCAGATGCCCTGCCTCATTCATGAAACGGAGGAAGGGGTGAGGGGTCCGGATGCAAAGCAGGCCGTTTTTATACAAGCAGTGCTTCCTCCACTTAAAAAACAAACAGATAAGCTCGTTTGTTTACAGTCATCTGTCTGCGTGTCGTGTTTTAAGGCAAACACAGCTCCCCCCCCCCGTTGGTGACCCCCCCCCCCGTCGGTGAAATTCAGTACGTAGGGGTAACTTGTGAAAAGCTGGCCAAATGGCGAGAAAGCACAAACTAGATAAAATGCTCAGCATGTATTTTGAATGAGTGTTCCTTCAAGTGGTGAAAGGTGTCTGATTATTAGAGCACATGCTTTTCCTCTTCTCCGTATCTTGCCTTCAGCTGCGCTTTGTATCTGATTGGTCACTGGAAGGTAAACAAGAGCTTACTTTATAAGCCTGATGGCAGAGGCATGCATCTCTGAAAGAGTGATGTGGCTAGAAGGACAGCACATTCATCACTGAGAAAGCACACTCCCCTTAATATCAGCTTGACCTTCTGTCGCCATGCAGAGGGTCACTTACAGTGGGTTGCAAGCCTTAGCGTCTTTGCGCTAAGTTTTGGGACAGGGAGAGAAGAGAGTGTACAGAAGAGGCTCGTGCATTTGACGGGTGTAAATGGAAGTGTAAAAATGGTTTTTACACTTATTCAGAACAGTCCCCTTGTATCACTAAGGAGGTCTGAGAGTGGGCGCCAGCCGGGCACATGCAGCGCTTTGGTGCCTGCCCCTCGGGCTTAGAACTCTCCTTCTGCTGGAGGAAGGAAATAAATGGCTGCTGTACTTTACCATAATATTTCATTTTAGTGGGAGGTTTGTGAGCCAGGGGAAGGCTGAGAATGAAGATCAGAACAGGCCAAAATTTCAGTCCATCTTCACCCCCAGCCTGAGCGAAACCAGATGCTAGCCATACACTTTTAAGGAGAAAGGCAGGGTAAAAATATTTCAGATAAATCAGTCAAGAGAAGAGCTGCTTCCTTAAGTTGACTTCCATCCACACAATTCTAAAGAAGGATTTTTTTTGAGCGTTGAGTGTTATCTTTGTGTCAGTTTCATATCATTTTCATGCCAGAACTGGGCTTGTGGAAGTCAAACATGACTTAGGATCAGCAGGACACAAGGGCAGCCTTTATATCCAGAGAACAGAAAGTGAGCCATTCTAAATTGACCTCAATCTGAGTACCCCCCCCCCAAAAAAATGACACGAAGCAAAGGAAAGAGAAGGGAGCCTGATATGGTGTTATTTCTTTGCTGGGTGGAATTTTGGATTGTTACAGTTTACAGACAGAAGACTTGGAAGCAACGAGTTGCCTGAAATGAGCAATGTAACAAAGTACAGGGTGTAACAAAGCGTTCTGCTTATATACTGCGCCGTAGAGCGTAAAACACTCTCTGGGTAGTTTGCAAGTTAACGATGCAAGCTATATATTGCCCCTACCACCCAGCAAGCTGGGTACCCATTTTACCGACCTTGGAAGGATGGAAGACTGAGTGAACCTTGAGCCGACTACCCGGGATTGAACCCAAGTTGTCGTGAGCAGAGTTTTTGCTGCAATACTGCAATTGAACCAAGTTTACCAAATGTTATGCCATTCTCTTATCAGTTCTGAAATGGCAAGGGAAACAGTCTTTGATTTTGCTGTATGCATTTTTCTTACAGATATTTCCAATGCTTGGTATTATAATTGATTACCAGAAGGAACCAGAGAGAATTTCTCTGTCTTTTTTTCTGGCTAACTGTGTGTGTGTGTTTAGTCGTTTAGTCGTGTCCGACTCTTCGTGACCCCATGGACCAGAGCACGCCAGGCCCTCCTGTCTTCTACTGCCTCCTGGAGTTGTGTCAGGTTCATGTTGGTTGCTTCGCAGACACTGTCCAGCCGTCTCATCCTCGGTCGTCCCCTTCTCCTCTTGCCGTCACACTTTCCCAACATCAGGGTCTTTTCCAGGGCGTCTTTTCTTCTCATTAGATGGCCAAAGTACTGGAGCCTCAGCTTCAGGATCTGTCCTTCCAGTGAGCACTCAGGGTTGATTTCCTTTAGAACTGATAGGTTTGTTCTCCTTGCAGTCCAGGGGATTCTCAAGAGCCTCCTCCAGCACCACAATTCAAAGGCATCAATTCTTCGGCGGTCTGCTTTCTTTATGGTCCAGCTCTCACTTCCATACATCACGACAGGAAAAACCAGTAACTAGTAACTTTAACAACATTAACCCAAAGAATCAGTTCCTGGATAGAGTAACAGTAACAATAGCAATCATGGCAAGCAAGCAGCAGTGGGGAACTTGAAAGTTAAAACAAGCTCTTCTTAAACTATAACGTTCGGTATTTATTGAATTGAGGAGGATATATTTTCAAGTATTTTTATAGGGAGGTTTTTAATGTTATTTGTTTCACTGTTCTTAATCCTGTATCTTATTTTATTTTTAATTTGTGTTTATTATATGGGGTGGGGTGGGGGCCCCACGAAGGCGATGTAAAAATGAAAAATTAAAACAAATACATTAGCCTTCCAAACCTTAGGTGAGGTTTAAAATGGCAGCTGGATTCCCAGTGAGACTATAAAACTTGTCCTGAACAATTTAAGCCTCCTCTGAGGAAAAAAATGCTCAGAATTTATATCCAGGGTGTCCCAACCATCTCTGACTGTGCTTGGTGTAATTTTGAATCTGAATTTTTGTTTCTCTCTCTCTCTCTCTCTTTCTCTCTGTCTCTCTCTCTCTCTCTCTCTCTCTCTCTCTCACACACACACACACACACACACACACACACACAAACCTTAAGCAATTTTCGGGTGGAAAATATGGCAAATGCTTGAACTGCACGGGGTGGGGTGTTTTGCTCGCTTCCGGTGATATTAAGGGCAGCCTTTTGGTGTTCTCCTAGAGAGCTGACCCTCTTCCCTCTCTTAAGGTGGCCACAGCCCTGAGCTCTGAGGAGCTGGTGCGGAAAAAGAAGGCCCTGGCTCGCGCTGCGCTGTCAGGGCGCAGCTTCTCCTCTCCGCACGGAGAGCTGGACGCCCATCGCCTCCGCCGAGCCCTGGAGAAAGTCTCCAAGAAGCGGAACCAGTCGGTGGAAGGCAAGCTGGACGGTTTCCAGCCGGAGTTCCCAAAGATGGCCAAGACCAGGGCTGATTCCAGTGAGTGACCGGGGGGGGGGAAGGTGGCTGAGGGTGGCTCACTGTGGGACCGGAAGGGGCAAGGAGGAGACCAGGGATGGCTGAAATGGGCCCGTGCGAGGCAGGCAGAGGCACCTTCCGCAGCGATGGGAGGACAGCATTCTGCCAGAGGCTGCTCCTCCCACTCACCTTGGGGGTTGTGCCCACTGAGACCTTCATCGGAGGCTATTTGGAGGGGAGTTCACAGCAGAGAGTGGCGAGTCAGCCCTGCAATCCGGGGACAGTGCTTTGCAGGATCAGAGCCAGCAAGCAGTAGACTCATCCTGGGCCAAGCAGATGGTGCTCCTTGCTCTGCTCTCCTGTTATGAAAGATGAGCTGCGGTTTCTGGTAGCCAAGGGAGCGGCTACCGTTCCTCCTTACCGGCCAATGGGTCTCCATGGTCTTGTGGCCTCTCTAAGACTAAAATATATGATACCACGAGTTTTCATGGTTTCACAGCCCGCTTCCTCAGATGCATGGGCTTCAGGGTCTCACGAATCTGCCAGCCTTAAAAGTGCCAAATGATGGCACGGCCCCTTGTTCTGGAGATGTTTGTCTGAGCCCAGGCGGGGAGACGGTCCAATGGCCGACCCTCATTGGCTTCCAGCAACCCTCTCTCCTGCCTTACTCTCTTCTAGGCAGTTTGCTGTCGCCCGTGCACCTGGATTGGGACACCCTTTTGGAACCCCCGTATCTTTTCAGCCCATCACCAGCGCCAGCGGCAGCACCTGAGTCCGGAGCTGGTGAAGGCAACGGCAGCCCCTGGCCGCTTCTCCGGTGTCAGGTGATCATCCATGCCCTCAGCGCAGGGAAGCCCATCTCCTGGGAGGTGACCACCGCTCTCGATTCCCTGCTCCTTCCCGAAGACAGCCAAGCCAAGGGGGAGCCTTTCCAACGACAATCTCAGTGGAGCCAGGCTTGGGACAAGCTGCTCCATCGTTTGACTGCCGGTTCCGTCATCCGGGATAACGAGAACGTGGCCCAACGAGAAGCTGAGCTGGAACATGGTGAGCTGGCCTGCGCTTCCCTCGAGGGTCCTGCCCTTTAATCTCTGCGTGGCCAACGAGAAGCTGAGCTGGAACATGGTGAGCCGGCCTGCGCTTCCCTTGGGGGTCCTGCCCTTTAATCTCTGCATGGCCTTTGTTGATGTTTAGTTGTTAAGTCATGTCCGACTGTTCGTGACCCCATGGACCAGAGCACACCAGGCCCTCCTGTCTTCCACTGCCTCCCGGACTTGGGTCCAATTCATGTTGGTTCTTCGATGACCCTGTCCAACCATCTCGTCCTCTGTCATCCCCTTCTTCTCTTGCCTCCACACTTCCCCAACATCAGGGTCTTTTCCAGGGAGAAGGCCTTAGCCAGGAACTAATCTTACAGTAGGACTACTTGGGGGGGGGGAGGAGGAAGAGCCCAAGGATGGTGATCTAACCGTCCTCCCAGCTATTGAACTGCGCAGGTTGCAAGTCGGTTGTCCACAACAGCGAGGCTGAGCCTTCACCACCAACTGTGCTGGCTGGGGTTTCTGGGAGTTGCAGTTCAAAAACATCTGAGTAACAAAGGTTAAGAACCACTGATCTGGCCATCCTCCCAGCCATTGAACTGCGCAGGTTGCAAGTTGGTTGTCCACAACAGCGAGGCCATGTGTCCAACTCTCTTGCTTCTAGTTTCGCACCTCAAAGAGCCAATTGGTGGTATGTTAAGTGCCTGAACATAAACCTGCATCCTACAGTTTCTAGTCTCTTGGGTACCCGCTGAGAAAATATCCGGGTTCTGTCCCAAAAAATAGCTGACTTGCACAAACTGGAATGAATCATGCAGACTTAATTTGGCTTTGGGGATGTTGAAGATCATCTCCCTAGAAATTAAATTATTTAAATTAAAAATTCAAATTTAAA